CCCCCCCCCCCCCCCCCCCCCATCACGGCCCTTCTCCTCCCTCCGCCTTTGCAGATGGCGTCGGCTACCGACTCCCGCTATGGGCAGAAGGAATCCTCCGACCAAAATTTCGACTACATGTTCAAGATCCTCATCATCGGCAACAGCAGCGTAGGGAAAACCTCCTTCCTCTTCCGGTACGCCGACGATTCCTTCACCCCGGCCTTCGTCAGCACCGTCGGCATCGACTTCAAGGTCAAGACCATCTACCGGAACGACAAACGCATCAAGCTGCAGATCTGGGTGAGACCCCCCAGTCCCTATAATCCCCATCTTTAGGGTCTCCCCGTGGTTCCCCACGCTGGGATGGTTGGTGTGGGGCTTCTCCAACGTTTACCGGGGCTGGGGGTGATGGTTGTGGGGTGGGTTGGCTCCTGGACCTCGTTGTCCAGGAGGTGTCCCCACACCAGGATGGTTGTTGGGGTCTCCCCGTGGTTCCCCGCACTGGGATGGTTGATGTGGGGCTTCTCCAACGTTTACCGGGGCTGGGGGTGATGGTTGTGGGGTGGGTTGGCTCCTGGACCTCGTTGTCCAGGGTTGTCCCCATGGGTCCCCACACCAGGATGGTTGGCGTGGGGCTGCTCTGATGTTACCCAGAGCTGGGGGTGATGATGGTGGGGTGGGATGTCTCCCTGAGGACTCAGTTGTCCACGAGATGTCCCCACTGGTGTCCCCACGTCCCTGGGGGTGATGTGCTGATCTCAACCCCCCCCAAACCCAGGACACGGCCGGCCAGGAGCGGTACCGCACCATCACCACCGCCTACTACCGCGGCGCCATGGGCTTCATCCTGATGTACGACATCACCAACGAGGAGTCTTTCAACGCCGTGCAGGACTGGTGAGCACCCCAGGAAGGGCTTCATGGACCCTCACCCCTCCCTAAACTGTCCCCTCCCCTCCCTTTTTTGGGGCCTCCCCTCCCCATGCCGTGCTCTCTGCCCCTCCACGTGATGATGATGATGATGTCCCCCCCACTTTCTTTGTCCTCCCTGAAGGTCCACCCAGATCAAGACCTACTCCTGGGACAACGCCCAGGTCCTGCTGGTGGGGAACAAGTGTGACATGGAGGATGAGCGCGTGGTCTCCTCGGAGAAGGGCCGCCAGCTCGCCGAGCACCTGGGTGAGTTGAGGAGCTGTCTTCCTACAAATAATTTAATTAGGGGGGGCTTAATTCCCCGGCTGTAATTCTTCTGCTTCAATAGCAGCGGTGACTCGTCACCTAACGAAGAAAAAAACCCAAATGAGGCATAATTAAGCCCCCGGGGTGTGATGGCAGTTTCTGTTACAGCCCCATAAACCTGCCGAGAGGTGGGGAAAATGACGGTGTCACTGCGTGGGTGGGTGTGTGTGTGTGGGGGGGTCTGGTACACGCAGCCCTTTCAATTAATATTTAACGAGGGGAGGAGGAGCCGTGGAAGGTTTCCGATGTTGGGCAGCAGCTGGATGCAGGGTGGCAACGGGGGGGGGGTGTGTGTGGGGTTTGCAGCCCTAATCTCACCCATGTGGGGGTGTTG